TTCACAACAAGTTTAACACAGTGCCAGTATTGTAGATTTCCAAGTATAAGAAGGTTATTCAGAATCTGTATTATTTAAAAAAAAAATTGGTTAGAATGAAAATGGCAACAAAAACTATTAAGAAAAGTTAGAAATGTTGTTAGGAAAAATCGGGAAAAATTGGAACGTACTTTTTATATGATTTGTTACCTTGATTCTATCGAATAAGCTATTTTGTCATGTACGAATATGATAGGCAAACCTAGTCGTCACAAGCATTCACATTATTTGGATTCAGAATGTTCGCTATATAAATTTTTAAAGCGCGAAATTAGTTTACATGTGGCGTTGGTCGATTATCCGTTACAAACACAGCTTGGTTTCATTCCAAACTTGATTGTCATTGTAAAGACAATACTTGGAGGTTAATACGCCTGCTGGGATCTGCCGATATTTAAGTGGTTGTCCTTTCTGCTGATGAAGTCTTCAAAAATTATCGCAAGCTTTATTTTGGTATACGCTCCGATTAGGTTATTTTTTTATGTATACCATGTGTTATTTACAGTAATGACTAAACAATATATTTGTCTCTGGCATTTGCGTGGGAATTGAGGACCGGGTGGGCCCAGAATTTTATCGAATTAACAAATATGTTGGAATTTAGCTTTGTCTCCATGTAAAATGTCTTTAGATACCCCCATAGTCTGTATATGATATACAGTTTTATTAAATTAGTTTTGGGGCAATATCGTTTTTCATTCACCTGTTTGTATTCTACCTAACAGCTTTGAAATAACATCGTATATCTCGGTGTGGTGGTATCGTTGATGAATTGGGCCGTCGACGCGCAACATTGCCTGTCTGTTGCAGAAACCAATTTAAATTTGCATGTAACTGTACATTTACAGACTTTGTGAAGGAAAATTATTATTAATAATATATTGAAATATTTATTTAGGTACAGATATCACTAGATAAAATATGTGAAAATCTGATATATAATTAGGTCATGATTCTGTTTTGTATTCCTATAATGTATTGATTGATAATTGAAGTTTGTGCTGTTTACATCAACAATAGCAGTGTATACGCCATAGGGTGATTTCGAGATTAAGACCTTATTTAGCTCCAGTCATACGATACTATTTTTCTGGGGCTTCTTCCTCCTTCGAGGTTATATTGTTTATACATCAATTTTACATAGATTTTTAATTGTTAAGAAATATTTTTATTCGGGAGTGCATTCGTTTCTAGTTGACAAAACTTTCGTTTCCTGGTAGGTTTATAGTTATTTCATTCAAATTAAACGATGATTGTCGGTACTGTCTGTACAACCGATTAAATTGAGAGATATTTGTTGAATAAATGATGAACTCTGATAGGAAAAAATGGCGCAAACCTACCACATTGTTCGTATAGACAGCAGCATTTTTTTTAAATATTAACAATTGGTAATTTAATCGTAATAAAACTACTAGTGACATCAGTGGTGTCAAAATATTTACCTGTGGACAATCTCTAACTTTAAGATCTATAAAGAAAACTATAAATGCTTTAATTAAAAGTTTCAAGTGGACATAAACGTTCAGTCCTATTGAGGAGCATCAATCTAAGTTATGTAATATTCGGATTCCAAGCTGCCAAGAATTTGTTTTTACAGTCTAGACGAATCATATGTAGTAATGCTATATCTTCTCACATATATAGGCAGCTCTTATGTTTGTTGCCAAACTTTCTTATTATTTATACGTTTGACGTAAACGATGCATATTTGGATAGTCGCCAATCTGTGAACGTCACTGTTTACAATTGTTTAGGGTTGTCAAGTACCGACATTATTAACTAGCTTTTGTCGTTGATAAAGTTCCACAACTTAAAAATAGACTGCGAGATGAATACTATTAACTTTACAGATACTGAATCATAAAAGGTTGATTTAACTTTAGACGGCTTAGGAATGTAGTCACTTCTTTTAGTAGCTTCTGAAATTAAACCGTATGTGTGACAATGAATTGATGACCCTTGGCCGTGCTACATCACGTCACGAGTGTCTCTTCTATGTTTCAGATATAGATGATTTCTTTTCTCTAATTGCCGCAGTTATTTTTTTTTACTATCATAAAGTTTTACTTTCATAAGAAACAGGATGTTGTACTATGATTTAGCTCAAATTATATACCTATTGTTATGACATCACTCGCTTAGGCCATCTTCTTTTGCGTGTATTATTATTCGGTTAGGTGATAGTTGAAAAAGTCAGCGGGGTGGAAAAACACAAACGCCATTGGATCTTTTGTTAACTTGTCTTCCTTGGTGACATTAGAGATGAAAGAAAAAACTGTGAGTAAAAGAGACATGCAAGATCACATACCACATTGATCAGTGGCCTGGCAGAACTATCAGAGTATCGTGTTACGACTTTAAAATATCAAAAGCAAGCTCTAATTGATCAGTTTGATCAATGACCAATCAATTTAGGATTGGACAGAATATTTGTGATTGGTCAATGTAGGTTCGAAAACTGAAACACGAGACTGCAGCAAAACCGTAGGTCTCGAGCTAGTTAATAAAACCTCTGTGTCATGAAATCCTTTACATAAGGGTGTCAACTCGTGAACATAAAACCTTAGGTTTTATAATAACTCCCACCTATCTAATTTGTTTTACAAATCTGATTGGATGCAGCTGTATACGACACCTCATCCTGAATCTCCATTGAGCTAGTGACCTGTTTTTGATAAGGGTCACAGGGTGTTGAATGCGGTATTATGTTTAGTTATAACCTCTGCATAGCTGAAGTTATAACTCTGTTGATTGTTTGAAAGATGTTATTTTATCTTAGTTTGTCAATATAATATTTTTTCGAAATTTATTTTGGGGAACCAATGATCACGGAGTAGAAGGCAATAGTTCTAACACGCGGTTCGTTAAGGAGGTTAGGAGTTTAAATGTAGCTGGGGGCGAATATGGGTATGTTAAATGAGTTATGTTGGAAGCTGCTTAGGTGAAAAATGCGTAATTCCACTCACGAATAAAGTTAGGTTTACATAGTATTTGAATTTATCGAAAACCGCATATCGATGAAAAACATCTTTTCGTGTTATAAAGAAATTGGAACAATAAAAAACTTTTTATAAAAATTAGAACCGACTTCAAACTTTAAAAAAGTGACAAATAATATTTATCTCAAAAGCGACTTATTCAAGAAAATGCTATTAAAGTCGGGTGGAGCTTTTCTGTAGATTATGAATTCAATAATAGGCAACCGCCCCGCGCCCTATTTCATTAACAAGGACTTATAACTGTTAAAAATTGTCATTACAAAAAAGGAACTGTAATACTATCAAGTGTACTTTCCATTGTTCCTCCTACAGTAGCTAATCTGAGCTGATTGAGATAGTCACAACGGAGGCCGTGTGTCTCATTCTTTCATCTTGCCATTATAAAAAAAAAATATTTGAGTAATAATTTAAATCAAAATAACCTTAGTACAAACACTTGTATTTTAATTTTAATGGTGACTATTAAAAAAAAATGTCATTATATAATCACATTAATTTCGTTAATATTGAATAGGGATGACGACTAATTTTTATTTGTTTGTCCTTCAGCTAGATTGTTGAATAATATTAAGCACGTATTTTTTTTTTCAAAATCATTAAGTTAGGGCGACATATCGGATACGGAGTTCAAATGTCACATGACGTTATATTTTCAACTGTGAAGTAGCGAGGCCCCACTCCTCAACTTTAATGCCTGTTATCTAAGCTATTTCTTGTTAAATTGAAGTAAAAAGAATAAGTATCTAATATTTTTTATTATATGACTGACGGACTAAATAGCTTTTTTTTCCAGTCGTCATCCCTATAAGTACAGATAGATAGTATTAATTATTATCAAGGCCATTTGTTTTACTTCTACTGTCTCTTTCAAGTTGGCTCATGTTTGTGTCATATATATAATTTACGCATATTATTTGGTATTTTTATTTTGGCAGTTTCTTATACATTTTAACAGTTAAAATTGTGAAACGTGTTGCGTTTATATTTGTCCAAGTGAATCTTGTAGTGGCTGCAATACGTTTTATCACGATTAAGATAGAAATAACAATTATAAGTCCAACAATTATGTTTACTATGAAGTCTTGTAAAATGTGGATAATGTGTATGTGGTCATTGAAAAGTATTATTACATTCAAAATTATCCGAAAAATGAAGAAATGCCAAAATATCTCAGCGGACAGATACGTGAAGCAGATATAACAGTTGTATGCAGTAATTAGTAAGGGACAAATAGCCTCTGTAGTTGATATCTCGATCGGTTCGCTTTTAAGCTGGAAATATTTTGTCCTGTTATATAGTACCAAGTCCATGCCCTATATGGTCCATGTCATAACATATCATCTTAATATTTAGGTGGTATCTATTAGAAAGCGTATTTTCTTATGTTGTAAGAGGAAAACTACTTCTATATCTATAAAATTTAAATTTGACCACCTCGATCCATCAAGGTGTAAATTAAAAAAAATATTTTGAAAATCGTTCAGTAATTGAGAATTATTGAAGTTATTCTCTTTATTTATGTTTAACTCTACACATCTATGTTTCGTGTTGAATATTTCAAAAATTCTTAAAATAATAAGAAAGTAAATTATACATTTAATAAAATAAAGTAAATAAAAATGATCTTAAAATTGACATATGTATTCACAAACATAAAATATCTATTTGCCCAGAAGACCGACTGGACCGGCCTCCTATTGTTCGCCAATCAGGACAAATGTGCACAACTCCGCCAATTTAGCACTTGACACATCCGCTGAAATGTGCTGGGCATTATCTGGTGTCCTGTCGTTCTGAAATACGTAGATTGGTTGATAGATTTCTCAAACTATTTAATTTTCGTCATCGCAGTGTCGCTGTATGTCTAGAAATCTCCAATTATATTTGTAATTCCATCAAAAAATATTTTACAGTTGATTGAGGTTATGTCGTAATATTTGTCGTTTTGTTTGGTTACAGCATGAGGTCACGGCGGTGTGGTGTCCGCATGGAAGCCCGGCGGACTGGTGATCACGCGCTGCACACGCTGCGCGCGCAGTTTCGCCGCGCCCTGCCGGAATGGACCGTGCGCGCCTCACGTCGTCGTCGGACTGCACGAACCATCGGCCGATCCAAGGAGGACCCCGCGAAACCCTCGATAATGCAACCTCGCCCGCGGAGGCCTTAAACGAACCAGAGACTCCGCGGCCCGCGCCGCGCGCGCTTGCCTCTATACCCGAGAGCGAACCTTTGCTTCGCGACCCGCTCAGTGTCAGTGCTATTAGTGAAAATGTCGCGAAGAAAGCCAACGGTCGTCCCCTGCATGTGCAATTCGATGCGCAGTCGCCGCCGGCGCCCGTGTCAGTGTCTAGCTCCAGTTCGAGTTCTTCGGATGATGAGGAGATATCTATCGCGGAGGCGCGACCGCCGGATGGTGGTTTTGGGTGGGTCGTCGTCTTCGCATCTTTCCTTGTCAATCTCATTGCTGATGGAATCACATTTAGTTTTGGCGTGTTCTTCCCACATTTCCTTGAATACTTTGGAGAAGGAAAAGGAAAAACCGCTTGGATCGCGGGCATATTTATGGCAATGCCGCTGCTGTCCGGGCCGATCGCTAGTTTTCTTACTGACAGATATGGTTGTCGACGCATGACCATTTTCGGGTCGATCCTTGCGACCCTTGGATTTGTAATTTCCGCCTTTGTAGACAGCATGGAAACGCTATTTTTGACTTTTGGAATAATGGCTGGATTTGGCCTTAGTTTGTGTTATGTAGCAGCTGTAGTTATAGTAGCATATTATTTTGACAAAAAGCGTTCATTAGCTACGGGAATATCTGTATGCGGTAGCGGTATTGGAACTTTCATATTTGCCCCATTGACATATGTCTTGTTAGATGAATATGGATGGCGTGGCACCACCTTGATATTGGCTGGACTTTTCCTAAATATTGCGGTTTGCGGTTTGTTATTCCGAGATTTGCCTTGGACGGCCACAATGAATGAAGAAAAGGCAAAAGAAAGGAAACGAAAAAGGGAAAGAAAAAGGAACAAACGCTATGGTTCTTCTGCTGATAGTTTTTCTGATAGCAAAAGTAGCGCAGCGGGTTCTGCTAAAGTAGCGGAAGCAACGGGCGCAGAAGCGGTAGTCTCACCTATGGCGCAGTTTAGCTCGTTAGTAGATCTACCAACATTCATGACTGGCGGCGAAGGAGTTTCCTTGGAAGTATTCGAATTAATGTCAAACCGAGGTCGAGCATATGCTATGTTAGCACAAAATTACCCTGGTGTTATGTTGCCTTCAAGGAGTTTTAGTGATAGTGGGAGACTTCACGAGCAGTCTCCACCTAGAGCTTTAATGTCGCCTAACACAACATCGCCTGGGGCGTTATCTCCTACAGCGGCACCAGTACAGGGGACCGATAACTCAACAACGATGTCCGATAAGGCGGCGACGTCGTTGTGGCTTCGTCGTCAGCATGCGGGTGGAGGTGGAGGCTCTACGAAGAAGCCACCGGCTTTCCTCAAGGATTTGCGAGTGCACAGACACTCATTAACATACAGAGGCGCGATGCTTAACATAAACAGATATAGACTACGAGCCTCGTCCTGCCCTAACATCTTTAGGAATTCGATGACCACGATCGCTAAAGAAAAGGTAATAATGTTGATAACTAACAATTTTTGAAATTGAATTAATTGATTTTTGGTATCCGACAGTAATCACAATTGATTCTATCTTTTATGTAAAATCTTGTCTAGAAGATCATATTAAACTAATTGAGTCTTTTCTCGTTTCCAGGTTCAGTGGTACGCCGGCCTTTGGGACTTTTGGGACTTGGTGGTGGACGTTCTAGACTTCTCCCATTTCTTGAACCCGGCGTTCCTCGTGTTTGCCATCTCCAACTTCCTGTTGTACATGTGGTACGATGTGCCGTACGTGTATATAGCTGACAACGCTATGAACATCGGCTTTGACGAGTCGCAGTCATCGATGCTCATCTCTATAATAGGCATCTTGAATATGTTTGGTGAAGTAAGTCTGAATTCTTTATTCTTAATGCCACTATCTTTTAATTTTAATTATTGTAATGGTGAATAAACATGTGGACAATATCTTATAATTGTCTAGATAATTATCTTTAGTTTTATGAGAAGATTAATGAAACAAATAAATTATTGTTCTTTTAGATATTGGGATCTTTGTGACTAGTTCGTATTCACTTGCTAGTTTATTGAATTCGTTACATAAATATGATTTTTAACACAAATTCGACGCTGGTTTTGAGAATAAATTATTCTTGTGCATAAGTCACAGTGAAACATTGATATAGAGTCATGGGTTGTCATTATCATGTTCTCCTGAACATTATCAGCCCAATGTCCTTACTTTTTAGACACAAGTCTTACCAAAGGCCGGAATCAAAAAGGGAGAATATCAACCTCGATGGTGCAATTTTGGTTCCACAGTTCCTCCAGCCTTCTTAATGCAAGATAAATCTTTAGTTCTGACTGCATCTGTACTCTTTAATATCTACTAATTCGCACTGGGCCCGCTATTTAATTCCATTCATAGGACAGGTCTTCTACCGCTGTGGAGAAATTATACATCGACGATGTGACACCTAAGTTGTTTCACTATTATTGATACCACAATATAAAATTGCAGATTCTACTAGGCTGGGTAGGAGATTGGGAATGCGTGGACGCTAGTTTAGTGTACGCCGGTTGTATGGTGTTATGTGGTGTGGTGACGTTACTGATGCCATTGCTAACGTCATACTTCACACTCGCTTCTGCCGCCGGAGCGTTCGGCATGTTCATAGCCGCAAACTATTCCCTCACCAGCATTATACTAGTGGAACAGATCACGCTCGAGAAGTTCACTAATGCGTATGGACTGCTGCTGCTCATACAGGGCTTGGCTAATCTCATAGGACCACCTTTAGGAGGTGAGTGATTCATCTTCACATTTTCTTCAACAAAGAGTTTGCCATCATCTTGCAGTTCCGATCTTTCTCTAAAGAGAGTTAATTACTTTTTAAAACATTAAATAATTTTGTTTGACTTAATTATATTTATGCATAATGTTTAAATTATAATAATATTTAGGCATAACATCATAAGATATAAATTTATTAACTACATATACGGCGCTCGCCGCGTTGGTGCCAAGTTCCGTTTCTCCGTCGACTAGATTTTGTTTTGGTTACAGTTGCAATCTATTTGATTTTTCGGTATTTTTAAGTCTAGCAACACAATGCGAGCTGAAATTATCCAAAAATAACCTAAAAGATAATTATGCCAACATAAACTGTATGGTAAAGTATATTAGCCATAAAAACATAGAAAAAGACGAGAACCCTCTTTCAAATATGTGTTCTTATTTATGTAACCGCAATTTAAGCAAAAAAATAATAACTTGCATGCATTAACTGGACTTCAAGATAAAAAAAATAATTATACTCAATTCCAAATTTCCAGGTTGGGTGTACGACGTGACAGGTAGTTACGACTTATCGTTTTACTTGGCGGGTGTATTCATCGGTATATCTGGTTTGATTCTCGTCGTGTTGCCGATCTGTTCCCGCGCCAGATCCGCACGACGGGCTCGACGTCAAGCCGCTAACGGTCATCTCAATACTAACGGAAAACTCATAGTGTGAACGCAGCGTTATTATAGAAAACCAAATTATTTAATAAAAAAAAAAGCTTTTGAACAGTTCAAACGAATTTAATATATTTTTTATGTTTGTTTATATTAATTTCATTTATTAAGGGCTGATAATGTTGTCATCAGTCATCAGCCAAAAGCCTTCCTGTAAGTATAGATAGTAAGTAAAGATTATAGGAGTACTGAATAGAAATTTCAATAAGTTTATTTGGAGAATTTGAATAAGATAGGTAAAATATCAGCCCAATTAAAATACTTTCGTTAAGTTTATTTGAATAAAAAACATATTTCTATTAAATATTTGATTATGTAAATAAAGTTGTCTTTTTTAAGTATTTTTAGGTTAATAGCATTTTTTTTCAATTTATTGATTATAAGACGAAAGATTATACATTTTTATAATAATATATAAAATATGTATTCCATTTAACTATTCAAAAGTTCTTTTAGAATAAGTACTGTGTTTAAAAATATTACAAAATATTATATTAAAATAAATTCAAATTTCATTGATTGAAATTTTCATTGATGAAAACTCTACTCTTACTTAATCTTTCGAACATCTTCAATTGATCTTAAACCTTACTCAATTGACAATCAAGTATATAATTGGTTGTGGAATCTTGATTTGTTTTGGTGAGTCTTAAATTGCGAAAATCATTGTTTAAAGTTTTCAATATTTACGATATTCAACTATTGAAAATATAGCGTGATGCGGAAATTATAGTTATGTGTAATATAGATAAAAGTTTTCTATAGATTAACAATAGAGTGGATAATTAATATATACTTTTGCAATTTGTATGGTTGCGTTATAATTCCATAACATTGCTAATGCTCAGGCAGCTGATTAATGAGAGAATCATTGTGTGAATTAAGTATATATCTCATTATAGGGTAAGAGAACTGTTTCTTCCACAAGATCTTCGTGAAAATTAAAATTGTATATACACCTCAAATGAAATATCTGTTAACGGGGATACTTGTACGATTCCATTGTACTTGGTAGCGGGTAAGGTTAAGTATCTGTATCAATTACGTTTTGATAGATTTAAGAACTGTAATGATACGTGGTTGTTACGTAAAATAAGACTTTAATGCACAGATAAAACAGTCATTATTGAATAATAAATATCTAGACATTTGTATTACAAAGCAAAAAAGGCTAATATATTCATAATGTCTTGTGATTAAATTATTCTGCACAAATAAATAATGAAACACCAATTCTTGCCATAAGTACCTACGATATAAACTGATTGAATTGAAAATTTCATTTTCCTGTAGTTAGGGTCGGATAACCTACATGGTTGGGTAGATGCTTCTGACAGAAGATACGTCGCGTAATTATCTGTCGCGGTATTTCAGAACTGACTAAATATATAATATGACATGCAATCTTGCACACTCGATGGATAATAAGTCCCTTATTAAAGCATACTTCCAAGAAACGCTTGACGGAAGTGCCGTTAGATGGGCGCCGACCCTTATTCGTGTTTGATATCAATAATTTCATCGTTGTACCGAATTCTTTAGTCCTTAGTGTTTAAAAATATAATATTTTTAATGTTGTATAAATTTTTAAACTGTTGTAATATAATTTAAAAAAAAAAATAGTTTCTAAGTAAAAAGTACGCATCGAAGAGTTGCGAATTTAATTTCAACTTAACAAACAGTATTCGTAAAATTCTAAGCGCGTGCTATGTAAAGATGGAAATGGTAGCACATTGAACTAGTGAAGAAAAGAAAAAAGGTAAATTGAAAAAAAACTTCCATTGGATGCTGTTTACACTTGGGAACAAAGAAATGGAACCACCATTGATTTCGAAATCAATGATTCTCCAAAATATATTATAGATAATTGTAATCAAGTTCTACTTCATTTTAAGCAATCAGTATTACTTGATAATAATATTTTTTTTTACATTAATTACATACAATATATGACAATTTCTTTGGTCCTAAGTATATTACTGCACGCGTAGCAGACAAACTCGAGAAACGCTTTGACTACACTCATTTGTCAGTTTCTCGGGTCGAGAGTGAACTATAGTATGGGCGCACCCGATAAAGGTGTATTAATTTGAGTGTAGAAATGAAAGTTCTCGAGTTCGTCATTCTATGCGTGCTGGGGTGGTTAGTATAGTATGTACTAGGTTGGATAATTGTGGTTTTGCTAATGAGTAGACCATAGATTGTAAGGTAGTATATGCTAATTTTAGAGGGAACGAATATTATATTGCACTAAAACAGAATGATTTGACATAATTTGCTACAAAGAAAATAAAAAAAAGAGACTCCATGTTTGTCTTTGATTTTGTCAATTGTGATTGTTTTAAATTACTTTGTGTCTGATAAATGAATAGTTCCATTTTCGAATCTCTAATTCGTAAGTAGTGAATTGAATTTATTAAAATAGTGGAGTTTTAAAATTTCTTAGCTTTAAGATTGAAATTTTAGTATTAAGTTTATTATACCATCATTATATTGCCCAAGTTTTAAATTGTCAATGATTTATATTATTTCTTTCACTGCATGTATATGTACTTTATTTTTAATTTTATTAGCGGTTTTTTTTTTGTATCAACCGTTTGTACTGATAGAACTAAAAAGTTTTTAATACATATTTTATAACTTTGTGTTAGCATTCACGAAACATGTATAAAGAAATGGACACAGTAAATTTTAAACATATGGCACTTCGTGAATCTTCGTTGCGCAGACGAGACCCACCAATTCCGAAGAGGACTGAATGTATTATTAAAAAATTACAATCACTCTTGTTTTACATTAACAGAAGGTATAAAATACAACGCGTTGAGTTTCCGTCTATGTTACGTTTCGGGTGTTAGCGCCTGGCCCTAATCTGTGTTGCCAACTGCTTGTTTATAAAGAAAAAACATGTCTGTCGCAAGTGCTTGCCAGAAAAGAAAAAAAAAACCTTCAGAATTGGTTGTGAAATTCAGTTGGCATGGCGGCGGAATGGCCTAATTATGCTAATTTGAGCATAACTATGACGAATGACGTTAGCATAACAAGACTTTTTGATATGACAAAATAACATAGCTTGATTTGCGAAGAATAAGTTGCACTAATAATATTGGAGGTACGAACACCTAATTCTCTTGCCATAGAGTACCTTAGCTATGTTATGGCGACATTGTTACTGGAAATTATATTATTATTATTATCATATTATTACTTTCACATGTGTTTTTGTGGATAAACTAAGTTGGCAACATTGATGTCAAATCAAAACTCATCATTATTTACCATTCGCTCGTCTAAAGTACATGTCAAAGTATTAAATGAAATATCATTATTACGTCATCATAGCTAGAGAATAAGGCCGGTCGCACACTAGGTAGACATTAAAATGTAACAATGCAGTTATTTGAGACACAATTATTATGTAAACGGTCTGATAGCGCCCTACTTTTATCATTCTGATGGGTCAGGGTTTCCAGCACTTGGAAATTTAACCTGCGCAGGTACATTGGTGTGCCATAATAGTTTTTTTGGATATGTTCGGTGAATGCAAACGCATCGTTAGAATGTGTTTTGTAGTACGTTTCAATGATCACTCGTCAAGACTGCCCCAAGAGATGAATATCTTCCCTTAGTAATTAGTGATGTAGATAAAATACTAAATGGTATTTTTTAAGCATAAACGCGCTAGTGAAACAAAGAGTATATAATTATTGGACTACTATGAAAATGTTACAATTATGTAGAAACTTTTTTTGATATGATTTACTAATATAATTCTTAAAGCTTTCCCTTTCAAGGTACTAAATTATGGTATAAGTCTAAATTTGCGGTTATTTCTTCGTATTTATAAGTATTTGCTCTTTAACTGATGAATATATACGCTGCAGGATATAGTACATTGTAAAACATATGAAAAATTGAGTCAATCTCAAAATTTGCAATTAAAGGCGTAATAGAGAATTTCTCACAAATGACAAAAATATTTGTTGGTAATTCTCAATTTGTACTAATTCGCTTGTGATTAAATTATGAAGAAATTTAAAAGGCATTTTTAAAAGGACAATCGGTCTTATTGTATTCATTATTTTAATAGTAGCTGTCATGGATAGGTTTTCATTTTTGTCTATTTGGGTATTTAAAACGATATCATATTGTGGAGAAGCTTTTTTACTAGCTTTGCGGAAGGTGCTTTTTACTTTTTAATTCCCTAGTGTTAACAAAACAATAGACATGTTATATTCTAATTGTTTGGGAATAAATTTTCAGTGGTTTTAACTGCTTCAAGAAGACCTCTTTAAATAATATTCCTATAAATATGTTTTCACAGTTGTCTTTTTTAAATTAAAAAGAGTATTTTTGCCAAATTAATTTATCCAAAGACGTGTGAGAAGTGATCGTATGAAACGGGTATATAAAATAAAATGTTTATTAAATAATGTATGCATGTGCGATATCGTAGATGGATGTTTCTTAGTAAAATTATGATTTTATATTTATATTTTGTTTCATTTAAATTTTATACTAATCGCAAATTTTCTTGGTTTATTTATTTTTAGTAGTCAAACTTTACTGGCTATTATTATCTGCTGTGGCCACGCTCACTTCAAAAAGTGTCGGACACAGCGCTGAATACAGCGCTGTCATAGTTTTAGACGGTCAAATGAAACTTAATATCTTGTGGAATCGTTTTTTTTGCTATATTTTTAACAAAGTGGTGAGCGTAAGTTTCACGTAAACCTGTTTTTAGTGAGCGCGTAACGTGTAGATATGTAGTTCGTGATAGTAACCGCTAGAGGCGCTGTGTCCGTTTTCAAATTCAAATCTCCACACGCAACTTACGATGCGAGTCGAACGAAACGCCGAAAACTCAACTAAAGGTACGTTGCGTACTATACGTAACGGATTTTCCATAGCTTTGTATTATTTTGTATAGATCTCGATCCATTAAATGTGCCGGCTGTACCGATTGTACTCATTATATGAGCAAAAGCAAAGTTATGCGTGCCGATGACGTCCTACAGGTTACTTCTATAGAACTTCACAGTATTATGTCAAAACTGTCATGGTAATTCTATTAAAAATCCGGACGCAATGGACGTACGACATCGGCAAATTCATTGCGTACCATGCTTCTGTTGCGTATAGATACAGTGGACCTTTGCCTTTTGTAATCACTGCGTGACTATCTGTAGCAAAGAGTTTTATGCTGAAACTGAACTGCGATTTAACGTCAGTCTGAAAATATGAAATTTTTAAACACTAGTATCTACAGTCGAGAGAACTAAAAATGATAATTTTATAATGAGTTAACATACATTTTACCAAATAAACATGAATTTGAATGAGTTGAACTATTAATAACTAGTTAGAATACTATCATTATTAGCTAATAACAGTTCTTATTGAAGTTATAATATTTTCTCAAGTAATTACTTCTCTCGATTGATTTTCAAGTGCATGCATTAGCAGACCGTCTAAACAACGTGCGTTTATCGCAGTGTGTTCTCAGCCTAACGGGGGATCCTATGATTTGAA